TATTAGTAAAGTTGTATTTATCTTCTTATTTGTTATGAACTATTAAATTTACTTTTATATTAGTTAGATAATTCATATCTTTTCTTTAAAGCTAAAATTAATTAATCTTTAGTTTTCAATTTAACAGCTAATCTATTTTCATGTCAAATTCATCATATATTTCTTCTTGAATTAATTTTCTTTAAATACATCTTTAAAAGTAATAATCCCAATTAATATTGAAGAATTTCCTTTAACTATTATAGTCATATAACTTCTTTCTTCTTGAAATGTATTAAAAATATCAAAAGTGACATTTCAGCTTCAACTAACAGTATCTGATTTATTTGAAATCTCTCAAGGATTTTGGATTATCTGAATTAAATATTATTAATAACTTCAGAATGGAATAAGTAAAAGTTATATTTTAGTAATTTATTATTATTTATTCTTTTTATTCTTTTTTTACTTTTTACTAACCTTTTTCTTTCCTTTTTTCTACACTTTTTTACTTCTATTAATTTCTTATTTATTTATTTATTCTTCTTTTTCATACTTTTTTCTTTTATTTATTCGTCTTATTTTTCTACTTAACTTCATTTATTTATTTTCTTTATTCTTTTGCATTTTTCTTTATTTTATTTTTTGTTTTATTTTTTTATTTATTTTCTACTTCTAAAACTTTATAATATGAAAATAGTTTCTTGAAATACAATTTATAGCATAAAATAATTTTGAAAAAAAATTATGCAGAATTTTTATTTATTGTTAAAATTATCAATCTCTTATTCTATATTAATATTAATTGAATATGATAAAATTTTTTTATATATTTACACAATAATAAATATAGAAAAATAATTTGATTATTATATGAATGATTATGTATTATGCAAAGGGTATGTAATAATTTTATTTTTTTTTTAATTTATCAAATGAATTTTTCATTTAACAAAATAAATTTAATTTTAGAATTTAAATAATACAATATTATTGATGCATTATACAAAATATATATAATAATTTTATTGTTTTTAATTTTTTTTTATCAAATTAATTTTAATTACTCTAAATAAATTTTAATTTTTAGAATTCAAATAATATTATTTGATTGACGTTAATAAGTATATACTATGTAGTTATTTGTAACAATTTTAATCTTTATTATAATATAATGTTAATTAGTGTTAATTTATAATAATTTTAATATAATTTTACCAAATAAATTTTTTAATTACCAAATAAAATTTAATTTAACTAAATAAATTTAAATTTTAAAATTTAAATAATATGTTGATTGTTATTGATAAGTATACATTATGCGTAATACATATAAATTTTAATTTACTAAATAAAATTTTCTATTTAATAGATTAAACATTTATTAAAATATATAAAATTAAAATATTAAAATATAAAAAAAATAAACCTTTCAAAAAAATTTTAAAAAATTCCAATTAATTTATATAATTTATTAAAAAGTTCATTATTAATAATGAAAACTATTTCGCAGCTATAATATGATTTAATAAGCCTTAGATTAGATGATTAGATGTAGTTCATAATATAATGCAACTTTTTGAAAAAAATAATTGTAATTATCGATAAAGTTTAAAAAATAAAAAGAATTCATAAACTTATTATGAAAAAATTGGATTTAAAAAATTTTTTAAAAAATATTGAAATGCATTCTTTAAATAAACTTCAATTTGAATTATTTTAAAAGTATAATTAATGTCATTTGAAATAACTAATGAAAAATCTAAAAATACCTTAAGAATAACATATAGATATAATTTTAACAATTCCTTCCCCTTTGTAAATTAATATTTTTAAAGTTATTGGAAAAACTGAATATTATTTAACAACCATTCAAAAACATTTGCAGAAAAATAGATTAATAAAATGTACACATAGAAATACTGGTTGTATACCAATACTTTTATCATGTGTTTATATTAATATAGAAGTTTCATCTTCAGTAAAAAATTTTTAATATATTATAATAATATTTATGGTTTATCATTTCCTTTATGTTATCAGAATGATTTAGGTATTTTTATTTATTTATCTACTGAAAAGCATACATATTTATTTATGAAGAATATATTAATAATATTAAACATAATTATAATTAAACAATTATTTTTTATAATATTTTTATAAAACTTTAGCATGAATTGATACCAGTATTCAGATGTTTTATCGAATCTGTTTCATCAAAATTCACTTTGCTGAAGTTAATTCACTGAAAAGACTCTTCATCAAATGACCACTTTACCGAATGGACTTTTCACCAAAAAATGTTTTTACCAAAATACCATTTCACTGAAAGGACACTTCACTAAAATGCTGTTTTGCTGAATGACATTTTAATGAATCCTTTTTGCTAAATGGACATATTGCTGAATCTGTTTTACTAAAAGAACATTTTGTTGAAAATGACTACTTCTTTAACTTATCATTTTTAGGTACTATATTATAAATAAGTTTTTTCTTAATAATTTCATTGAAAATAATAAAAAAGTTCAATAAATCTGGCAAATTGCTAATATCCAACAGCAAATAATTTTCATTTTCAACGAAATGTCTTTTTGGTGAAATGGATTCAGTAAAGTATCCATTTAGTAAAACAGATTTGACAAAATGTCATTTCAGCGAAGTGTCCTCTCAGTGAAATATTTATTCAACAAAACTTCTTTTCAGTAAAATGTCTATTTAGCGAAATAGACATTTGGCAAAGTGGTTATTCAGCAAAATGTCCTTTCGGTAAATTGGCTTCAGCAAAGGGAATTTCAGTGGAATGAGTTTTGGTAAAATGTATTGTAACCATTGGTATCAAATATTAAATTTCAAACATCAGCAAGTAACTTGTGTAAAACTTGTGAAATTCTTAAAGCAGAATTAAAAATGAATTAGATGAACATAATAAAATTAAAATTTAATACAAAACACATTATAAGGCAGTAAATCTTGAATGTGAGCATTATAAAAAAAATATTAATGAAAGTAAAAATAATAAGACAATAGCATATATTTGTTATGACTAGGCATAAATTGTATTAATTCCATATTCACCACAATAAGTTAGAACCCTTTATTTTAAAAATACATTTTCTATTCATTTATTTAGTTTATATAAAACTGAAGGTAGTTAAAATTACCAATTAAATTATTTAATTGCAGAAGATGAATTTCCTAAAGGGACAGCAAAAGGTGTCAACACAACTTTAAATATGGTATATAATGCATTTCAAAAATTTGCGCGTATAGGAAAAAAACATTTAAGAATTACTTGTGATAATTGTGCAGCACAAAATAAAAATAACCTTTCTTTATGATTTTGGGTATGGTTAATTATGTTAGGATAGTATGAAGATATTATTGTAAATTTTATGATTCCAGGTCATACAAAATTTATTTGTGATGCATTTTTTGGACATATTAAAAAAGTATATAGAGACACGAGAATTAATATAATAACTGATATAGAAAAAATTGTAAATTGTTCATCTAAAGGAAATGAAGCAATTTGTTATAATAATAATAATAATAGATAGATTTGATACAATTTTGAAGGTTTTTTAAAAAACCACTTTATTTCACTTCCTAATATAAAAAAATACCATCATTTTCAATTTAGTAGTTTACCTGGTGATATCGGTAAAGTATATATTTCAAAAGAATCTGGAGGAGTAGAAATTTCTTTTATACTCCTTCGCAATAATAGTTTTAATAAAAAATGACGAGATAGGTATAATTCTAATTTCACCATTAATCCAAAGAAAAAAAACAATACTTATATTTAAAGATTCGTAAACATGTGGACAAACCATTTAAAAATGTTCATTTTTCTAAACCTGATGAACATTAGCTTATTTATTAATCAAAAAAAATTTAAATTAAAATAAATGAAGAATTGAATAGAAAAGCGAGGAGAAAAAAAAGAATAAAAACTGAAGAATGAAGAGGAAAGAGGAAAGAAAGAAAGAAATCAAAGAATAGAGGAAGAAAAAATGATCAAAAAGATGAAAGAAAAAAATATGAAAGAGAAAATGAAAAGGAATGTAAAGGAAAAATTGAATGAAAGAAATAATAGAATTAAAAGGGGAAAATATTAAACGAACAAACGAATGGAATTAAAAAAAAGGGAAAAAGTGTGAAAAAGGAACAAAAGGAAGGAAATAAATAAATAAAATGAAAGGAAGGTACGAATAAAATAAAAAGATGGTACGAAAAGAAGGAAAGGAAAAAAATGAAAAAGGTAAGAACAAATAGGAGGTATAAAGAAAAAAATAATAAATAAAAGAAGAAGGTACAAAATAAAAGTAAGAGAAAAGAACGAATAAAATAAAAAAAGGGGCGAATAATAAATAACCAAAAAAGGGAGAAAGACAAAACAAACAAATAAAAGGAAAGAGAAGGTATCAAGGAAGAATGAAAAGAAAAGAACAAAAAAAATAAAAAAAAAAAGAAAAACTAACAATAAAAGGGGTAAGAAAGAACGAATAAAAGAAAAAAGAAACGAACGAAAAGGAAGAATTAAAAAAAAAATAACAAATAAGAAAAGGAATAAAAATAAAAGAGAAGGATAAAAGGAATAAAAAAGAACGTTAAAAAGAAAAAGTGGCGACAGATGCGGTATTTACAGCTGCGGTGAATTAAATAAAATTAAATAAAAAAATTTTATTTTTTATTTACTGCGGCGGCGGAGACAGCGATTGAACAAAAATTTTTTAAAAAAAACATAAATGTAAAATTTTAAAGTGGCTATTTAAAAATAATTAAATAAAATTTTTTATTTTTATTTTTTACTTATCGTTCAGATAACAAAAAGGGTGTCTGAAATTGGAATTCCAATTTCAGTTAATTGAAATTGGAATCTCAATTTCAGACACTCGAAGATCGTCTGAATTCCAACTTCAGTGGCGATCGAAAAATCTTTATAAAATGCAAGCTTTTGCGACTGGAACTAGAAATGCGGCGAAATATTAAAAAAAAATAGTCGCAATTATTTTTTCATGCAAACCTCCAATAGGCATAACATATCCTTCCGTAGTTATAGCTCCAGTGGCAGCCAATGTATTTGGAATTGGTTTTCGGTAATAAGCACTGACGAAGTAAAGGCTTATTTGTTGGCTGATATCGCCCATGTGGTAGGGTTGGTAGCAACTGACTTATTTCTTAATCCGGTTCCTTATGCGGACGTAATTACTTTTACTACCCACAAAACTTTGCGAGGGCCGCGCGGAGGAATAATTTTAGCCAAAAAAGGACTTAGGGAAATGGTCAACCGAGCGATAAGATTATTAAACGAATTCAGTCGACGACTCAATAGAACATCTATATCTTAAATCTATTAATAGAAGCATTGGATGGTCTCGGAATGTGATTTTGCTGGCAACGATCCCATATATATGATAATCTTCACACTTGCAACCAATAAAAACGAAGTAATCGTAGTAAAGGTATGCTCCTGGTTCGTACTGTGTCGATCAATCAATTATAAACCAAGCCTCGTTTTGAGACTTCATTTATTAATATTTTCGTAACTAAATTTATCGCGCAATTTTCTTAATTTTCGCATATTATTGACACAAGATTTATTTCCAAATTAGGAAAATAATATCTTAAACCATGTTTTTAAATCAGTTTAAACCGATAATAGATTTGCTTACCATTATATGATCCAACTAAATAAGCGATTTTTTTTTTCCCGATGATGCGATAAGGACCGATCATAAATAAACAAAGGGGAAATTAACACACGTGAAAAATAACACAAAAAGTTGAGACGTACCCGTACATGTTGTGTCATATGATAATCGTGAAGACTCTTCTCATTTCAAATATGATATAACGATTCAAATAAAATAAACACGTGAATTTTGGCGAACTAAAAATTCGAATTCCTTTTCGTCGTGTAATTATGTGGACCGATAGTAAAGGTATACCCTGTCACTTCATATGATAAATACAAAAAAAAAAAGATTTCTAAATAAATGGCGCTTTATTGGGAGTTATTTAAATCGTACATAATTATCCAAGAACGTCACACTCATTATTCTTTATAAGAAAAGATATTTTTGGGAAAAAATATAAATAATGTACACACACAACATTTGAATTATTAAAATCATAATTCGTCATGAATAAAAAATACTTCTTCATTTTACTTGTATTTTTTTTCGTTAAAACAACTCAGGGTTGTCATCCTGCTGGTAACCATTATGAAGATCGTTCAAATTATAGTATGTTAATTTTCTAATTTACTATTGTTTCATCATTCTTCTGGTAAAAATAAGTGACAATTTTTTTTTTTAGAATGTGGTGCTCAGGTTGTAGATGCCAATTTGTTACCAGATTCTATACTTAACATAACGGTTCGATCTGCTGATATGTATAACGGTTTGGGAACATCAGCAATAGGCCACTTTAGCATGCATGTTGATAATAATGGCGGTGGGTATAGATTTTTTGATAAGCCTCAATGGGTTAATGTTGTAGTTGTGGCAGATGCCAGAATATACCTCTGGAATACAATTTCGAAATGGCATTTGATTTACCAACACCTCCAAAAGGAACTTGGTTTGATATTTGGATTTCAATATATTGGTCATGTGAAACCTATGGACTTAGTAGAGGTTGTATTAATGAAGATGTACACTATCGAGGTTATGTCAAGTAGAAACTAAATTGTACTGATATGTTTGTTTTATTTATTTTATTTTAATTTATTTTTGTAATTATTATAATTATTATTATAGTTTCATATTTACATCATAAAATTCATAGTCCGTTAGTGTTAAAATTTACTATCATAAATAAAATTTTATAATCATTATAAAAAAAATATCAATCATTTCCGGTTATTTGCACCTAAGCATTTTTTGGCCCTCAAGTAAATCATCCCTTCTTTCATATGAGTGACGCACGTTAATCCAGAGAAACAGAAATGAGGAAACTTGTCATTTCTCTTGATATGTGTCTTTATGTTGACATAATCAACTGCCCTATAAAAAATTTTATCCATCATTTCTGTAAAGTTTTTATAAAAATGAGCCCTTCACAGAGTCATTTACAGAAAACACTAACAATCTGATAAATTTTGACAATGTATGATTATTAATTCCATGAATATGAGGCTTTTACAGAATAAGAATGAAATATAAAACACGGATTGACTAGCTTATGCATAGCATAATAACGTGGAGTTTTTGAATCTTTTGAACCAAATGAAGCTTCTTTACTTAGAGGTGACTAATTTTAAGTATAAAATTAAATCAACACAGCTGGAACTTTTATATAAGAAGACAGGTTTTATTAATACAATATTAGTGTCATGCAATGCAAAGATAAATACAGCTGAATATAGTTTAAGATATATGCAAATGCTAATATACCCAATATTTCTTTTCAAAAAATCCTTGAATCCGTTATTTTTTCATTGCTAGCTTCTTTTCAACATCCACTTTTCCCTCAATAACTCAACAATAACCTCTATCACTCACTTTACATTTTTACACAACTTCTTTTAATTTTAGAATCTTCTTCAAAAGCAGTCTTAACAAATGGATATTGAGTGAACTTTTACTCATGCAAGAAATCCCATTTGGAGCTTATAGAATTTTACAGAAATAGAAGAACTTATGACTTAATGAGTCAGGTATCAAAATCTTAAAAAATAAAAAGGTTAATAGCCTGGAACTTATAGGTTATAGTATAAAGAAAGAGTCAATTAAAAGACTTGCAAACTTCGCTAAGGAGTGCAAGGAGAAAAAGCTGAGGGTATTCTTCTCGTACAAGGCTAAAAATGACTTGAAAGAGGTATTATATAAGTATGAGATTGAAGATAGACCTACGGCAATTTACATTAAATATATATATATTTATCATTTATTTTTATAGAACCTATCGTTGATGAAGCAATTCATTGTGAATATATTTCAGTAATCCTCCATGTATGTATTTATATAGTTAGAGAATATATTGAAAAAAAAAATATCACTAAACCCATAGTTCAAAGTTATTGGTAAGAAAAATATGAGTTGAATAGATTATGGAATCAGAAATTAATTTGCATTATAGAGGCTAAATAATATTAAATTGCTATTGGATTTGCTTAAGTTAGTAAGCCTATTTTATTTTAGAGTTTTTTAAGTCATGTCATATTTCTTCTGCTAGTGTAACTGTCTCATTTCTAATAGTAGAGATAGAGGTGAAAGTTGAAGTATAAGTTGTACTAGTTTCAGATATAGTGATACATTTTTATAGGAATATTTGGCTTGGATAAAAAAATAATGTTATATTCTAGAGTAAAATAAAAATTTATTTCTGGAAAAGGCAAGCATTAATATATGATTTTATATCACACAATAGGAATGAATTAGTTCTGATAAAACTGGTCTTAGATTAATTAATAAAACCAGTTCTTGTTGTTTTTAATTCATATTCTGAGGACCAGTCCAGACCAGTCCTTTATTATTTATAGCATATATATTTTAAATTAAGGATTAATATTATAAAATACTATTTTATTTATAAATAAGTGTGGGACAAAAAAAAACCGGAATTTTTTAAATATACATTATGCAAAAACTAAACGACACCAACTAAATAAAATTTATATATATTTGAAGCTAAAAACTAGCTAATTTTATTAATATTTTTTTTAGAACGGAATTCGTTCACCATTATTTTCTATAATAAGTTCACATCGGCGTTTCATTGATCCTACTAACCCAATTAGGGTCGATTCTGGAATAT